AAAGTTGCCACTCATATATAGTGAGTAATCAGAGATTGAATTTTTACTAATAAATGCCATCTACACCAGGATTCTCACCAGCCTCAAGAGCAACTGTTGGTGAGTCTTCCCCATCTCCCTGTTTATTTCTCGCATGTGCTGATAAAAGACACAGGCATGCCTGAAAATTCCAAACTTGGAACCTTAATTTCCATACTTCATTTCTGTCATGTTGTTAATAATTAATGTTTTTCATACTGATCACATCGGTACCCGTTCATTTGCCTTTGTTTTATTAGCCAACCTATTCAATTTTATAAACTATATGAAGCAAACATGGACTCTGTCTTCTAATTATATATATATATATATATATATATATATATATTTTCTCCATCAGGACATTCATTTCTCGAGGGTTTTAGCTAATATCAGGACATTCATTTCTCGAGGGTTTTAGCTAATATCCAAGCAGTGACACCATACATTAAAACTGACTCTACAGTGGCACGGAAGAATCTCCATTTGAGGTTGTCTGGTAGATCAGATTTCCAAATGGCATCCATTTTATTCAATGTGACCCAGGCTTTTGCTTTGTGAATTTTTGCATCCTTTTCAGTAGAATTTATTTTGCTTCCTTGAACTGTGACATTGGAAATGGTGCCAGCAGTGATAGCTAGGTCACTTGCATAATCAATATTTGTCAACTTTGTGGCAAGATATTGCCACACCCAGAAGACAAAAATGTGAATAATAATAATAATAAAAACAAAGTAAGTACTGAAAATTGGTCTTGCTTTATTTACACTTGCCATATTAGGTTTAATATTATTAAATTTCTTAAATGAAGCATTCCTTTTTGTTGTTGGCCATGGCATGGTCAGCTAAAAGATTTTCTTTGTTCTTCTTTTTCATCATCATAGAAGTTGTTGGAATAAATTCTTGAAAAATGCAGAGACTTTTAGCCTTTTGCACTCCTAGCAACTTGCACATGTGAATGCCAAAAACCCTTCCACTCCAGCTGGCCCCTTTTCGTATCTGACATCTAAGTCCCTTATCTGCCTCCCAGCATCCAGCCAACTTCTTTTCTGTCTGATGTCAAAATCCCTTCTACTTGTTGTCTGCTGAACTGTGTTCTTATATACTCTCAGGTGTGACTCAAACAAGCTTCAACTTTAAATTCATGTGGGTGGAAACACCCCTTTTGATTGGACAAAAGCTACAAGGCCAGTATGTTTTCCAAATATGAAAAAAAAATGGATCACAAGCAGTCTGCCACGACTGTTATTTTTGGTGGTTCTTTTTAGAGCCAATTCTTAATAAAAAAAACTTTTACACATAAATGTAACCATTTTTTTACAAACCATAATTTATCTGTTTCTTCATACTTTGCTTAGCTTCTTGGATGGCATTTTTCACTATCCCAATGTGCTTTTGAATTTCAGTCTCACACTTTCCATGCACTATTAAAACACTTCTCAGATATTTAAATTTTTCTACTTGATTTGAACATCTCCAATTTGTAATTTGCATATTGGACTGTTCATTTTGCTGACAACTATTCTGTTTTGCAATTGATATTTATTAATTTTTTTTCTCGCTTCACTACATTCTATTTTATAGATGATGCCAGAAAGACAGACAGATCTATGTATGACATATGGTTGGAAAGAAATGGTCAGAAGTGTTCATTTGAGGCCGATCAGATAGATAATATTGGTTCCTCATGGTTATCCGTTTGGCTTTGTGTAGAATACACTTGCCCAAAGGTTTTGTGCAAGTGATAACAATCAAAGAGACAGAGAAATCTATATCTGATACAATGTGTTTCAGTAGTTAGCTGAATTAGGAAGTCTGAGTTATCTAAGATGATTCTTTTGCCATTAATTATTTCATGAAGAATTCATCTTGGAAAATAGTTTTATTCTATGAATGGCAAATTATTAGATTTTGTCTTTCAGATTTCTTCAATATAATATTTCGATCATTGCATGAAAGGCAGTTATTGACCATTGTGTACTTTCTCTTGGCTTCAAACATTACTGTTTTCCCAGTACCAAGATACATACTATTTCTTCATGATTCTTCTTTGCTTACATTTTGGAAGGCAACTTTCACTATCTCAATGCATTTTTGGTCTGCCCATATTGCTGACAAACATTCTGTCTTGCAATTGATGTTAGTCCTTTCTTCTTGCTTTCCTTCACTACATTCTATTTTATAGATGGCACCAGAAAGAAAGAGCTTAGTTAGATCTAAATATGACAAAAATGGTTGGAAAGAGATGGTCAGAAGTGTTCATTTGAGGCCGGTCAAATAGATAATATTGGTTCCCAATGATTATCCATTTTGCTTTAGGTAGAATAAACTTGCCCAAAGGTTTCATGCAAGTAATAACCATAAAAGAAACAGAGGAATGTTAAGTGCATGTTATTCTCACAATCTTTCTGTAGAACATCTTTTATATTGTGCTCTTCATCTGTGCAGAGATGGTCTAGCATTCATTGCCATATAAGAGAACTGGTATTACATAACAGTTGCATACTCTTTTTCTTGTTTCTAGCAAAATTTTCCTGTTTCTTTATATGTTGCTTAGCTTCTGAAAGCCATCTTTTATTATCTCAATCTGCCTTTGGATTTTGGTGTCACACTTTCTATTCTCTGATAAACACTTCCAAGATATTTAAATTGTTGGATTTGCTTGATTTTGGTATATCTAAACTTGTAACCCTGCAAGGGGGCCCAGTGGAATAATGGATAGCAGCTTGAATTGATGAATCAGAGAGCCAAGTTCGAATTCCATTTAAATCCACTACATTCACTTACATGCTAATACCCTTGGAAAAGGTATGAATCCTCTTCTTCTCTCCCCAGCTATGGGTAAATAGCAAGATAGACTGGTTTCTATAGCCTTGGATGGCAACTGGTCTACTGTAGAAAGAAATGGCGACCTACTGCGGAAAAAATCTGCCTCATCAATCATGTATAGAAAGATACATGATCGCCTAAGCATGTGTCACGCATGGTACATAACTGACTGAAACTTGTAATTTGCATACTTTAATACTAGTAATTGAAACTTACATCAGGAGAGGATGGGTCTAATACTCTACCCACTTAGATGATTAGTTTATGATATTTTCATTTTTACTAATGAAAATTACAATGGATTTTCTAAATTTCAATAAAATGATAAAGAAATATTTTTAAAAAAAACTTAATAAAAAGTAGATATATGGAAAATATAGATATGTTTATTTGTGTTAGTGTAAGAGAGAAAAACCTTTATGTGTGTAAAAGAGTTGCTTAAGTAAAAGAAGATTAATTTAATAGAAGAAGGCAAGAGAATCTGTATGAAGTGCATGTGTGCAAAGATGCTTGAAAATGAGAAGAAATTTAATATTTCCATTGGCGTCTTTGATAGAATTGAGCATTCTGTTTTTTTCTCAAACCTTTTGCTCATGATAATCAGTAGCCTTTTATTGAGAATCAATAATTTGCTTCTTTTTACTTTTTTCTTTTTCAAAATAATTTATCTTTTAAATCTTATTCCTTTAAGCTAATTTTCAAGAAGGCAAAGTTTTTATTTTATTTATTTTTTTAAAACGAGACAGATCAGGCTGAAAATGGAGAACCCTGGGCATATTCGTGCAGGAGCTTCCCAGTTTTCACATTCTGTCTTTGAAAGAGTCCAAATATATATATATATATATATAACCAAGTATATAATTGGTGTATATGGAATGAATTCCAATAACCAACAATTTAAACCATTTATTTTATATTCAACATCATCACTTATACATATCTAAATATGTCTGCGTGCTTGTGTATTATAATCTGATTGTGTTTGTGTTGTTTTGCGTGTGAGTTTAACACCCCATTCACACACTTGGGATTAAAATATATATACATGTATTGTCAGATGACCAGATATTGTAGTGTCTGTTCTAATGTAATTTCAACAAAGAAATAAATTGAATAACATATGTATTTTTTCTTTTCTCCTCAGTAATTTTATAGTTTTTAAACTTAATAGTGATTAAATTTGGATTTTAAAATTGGCAGTTTTTAATTTTAATATAAAATTTTATCATATAATTTAATAATTATTGGTTAGAATAAATTCTTTTTAATATTACCTGTATTTTAAAGATCTGAATAGCTATTATAACATGATTTCATTGTCAAGCTTTTGAATCTTCCTATACTTGGGTTTTGATTGGTCATTCTAGCTTTTGTAACAATGTTTTCCCCTCGCGAAGGATTGTTAATTAATTTGAAACTTTTAAAATCATTTATTTTATATTCAACATCATCACTTGATAAGACACCGAGGGTGTTGAAACAAAATGGCTATTTTTGTAGTGATTTTATAACATATTTATGTTAAAATTTTTTTTTTTATAAAAAATAATTATATATATATATATATATACACACACACACATGCACATATATATATATATATATATATATATATATATATATATATATAGTATTACTGTATATGTTATTTTTTTTTTAGTGAGTACATGTATTCAAGTTGCTATCACTGTTTTTTATGTTTTTTTTATTTTTTTACTTTCTTAAACTGTGAAATTAATAACTGGTCAAGATTTAGAAAAGCTTGTGTACCTCAAAACAGGAATATAAACTGTATCTTCTTTTCATCAGGGAAACCGCACTTCTGTAGCGAAAACATGCCATTAGCAATTGAGTCAGAGGTACACTCTTTCTTTCGTAAGAGACTTCTGAATCTAGGCCGGTTGTTATTAATTTCACTGTTTAAGAAAAAAAAAATTTAAAAAATAGGAAAGCAACTCAAATACATGTAACCACTAAAAAAAATGTTTATAGTAATAAATAATACTGGATAAAAACAAAACAACATTCAAATAAATAAAATAAAATAAATAATAATAATTATTATTATATATATATATATATATATATATATATATATATATATGTGTGTGTGTGTATGGATATATATATATATAGGGCTATTTATTTTATTTTTGCTTGTTTTATCTTCTATTTTTTATATTTTTATATCTGTCTGTCTGGTATATCTTGATTCTATTTCATAAAATGTAGTCGGTCTGATGAGATGAATTTGCTTATATTCATTGAAATAAATTTATTACTGATTGTGAATTTTTAAGTTTTTTTTTTCCTAATTATTCTCTCTCTGTTATATATATATATATATATATATATATAGGTTGTCTGTGTACTGGTATATATTAGTGGGTAGATTTACATATATAAGTGTTTACAGGTATATAATAAATAGTTGTATGAATGTAAATACGTGTTGAAACCATGGAAAGTCTGTGTGTGCGTGTGAATATAAACTAATATCCAATTTGTGAAAGCATATTTTAATAAATATTTTTTCTTGGTTCTATATTTTTAATTCAAATTTTAAAAATGTCGCATATGATCACTATTTTCATCAAAGTTCTTTTTTAATTTGTTTCTATAGAAAGACTTTATATCTGTTTTATCAAAATTATAAAACATAAAGCATTCGTGATAATAAGCATTGTTGTCATCTGATATTTAGTTCCATCTTCCCAATTTCACTCACAAGGTGTGATTAGGTTTTCAGGCACTTTCCAAGGGTGCCCCACACTTGGATAGCCTTGAGAGAAATCACTGTCCTGATTAATGATGAGATTCAAACCAGTGTCTCATGGTCAGAAAGTGAATGTTTTAATTCCTTGCCCATGTACCCATAACAAAAGCAAAACAGTTTAATAGTCAAAATAAGTCTTGGAATGATAATGATTCTTTTAAAAACATCTTGAGTGTCTGAATGTTGTTATATTTTAGATTAGAAGACTGTTGAACAGATTGACCCAAGTTGATTAAACAAAAAAGGCAAAATAAAATATGAAAACTCAATATATTCAGAACAATTCTTGTTATAACACTAACTCAAAAATATAGATCAATTTCTAATGCACTTCTCACTGGTAACACGATTTCCAAAGCACTTATCTCTGGTAACACGATTTCCAAAGCACTTCTCTCTGGTAACACGATTTCCAAAGCACTTCTCTCTGGTAACACGATTTCCAAAGCACTTCTCTCTGGTAACACGATTTCCAATGCACTTCTCTCTAGTAACGTGATTTGAAAAGAATGAGTTCAATGGTCTGACCAACTCATAGAATATCAATGACACTTCTCAAAATTATAGCTCAATTTACAATGTATTTCTAATTTAAATAAAATAATTTTATTTGTGTTTTATTTAAATTGAACCTTTATTTCCAATGCATTTCATTTGGAAAATTATAGGTAGAAAGCACATCTTGAATTGAATGTTTTCTTTCTTTTTTCTTTCTTTTTTCTTATTTCTTTCTTTCTTTTTTCTTTCTTTTCTTATTTCTTCCTTTTTTTATTTCTTTTGTCTTTCTTTCTTTCTTTCCACATCTCTCTTTTTTGTCTTTGCAGATCCTTTTTCTCACTTCTTTGTGAATAAAGACTTCTATGTGCCGTGTCCCTTCAGGACGTGGGCGATCATGGCTCTCCATGGCCGCCTATCCCTTGTACCTCTTAGCAACATATGTCCCTTTGTCAAGCTTCCCACTCTCCATTCAGCCATCCACTCACTCAAGCTCATCAGGTAGTTGGCCCACTGCCTTCCCCTGTCTCATTTTTTTTATTGTTTTAAAGCACAGGTTGTGGCTAAAAGAAAATCCATTAAAAGATGAAATTTGATAATGATGATGATACCGGCTCCCGATTTTAATTTTTTTTTTTTAAATTTCAGGTTGTATGCCCCTGGGGAATCTACCTCCCATATATTCCAAGGGGAATCTTATGTCCACCACTTTCCTGCTGCTGATCTACCCCACAGTACAGTAAAGGTTTGTGTCAGTGCTCTTCAACGGCTAAAAGCCATTCCTATCCTTTTGTGCCAAAAACCAAAAGATCTTTTGGTTCACCGGAAGCCTGTCAAATTTACAGATCAAAAACTGAAGGGCAAGCACTCGACAAGACACTATGTAAAGAACAAAAAATCAGCTACAATTTGTGATAGTGTCAATAAAAGTGACACCCTTAACTCCAATCAGGGAACGACTACAACAGAAAAGGTTTTGGCACATTCAAAATCCAAAGGTGGTACCATTATTGCCAAAGCCCAGCAGTCAAAATTTCAGCCATTCTGTGATGCCCAGCCACAGGCAGTTTTACAAAGTAAGACTTCCTCCCTGCTGCCACCCCCATCTTCAACTTCAGTACACAGTGTCTTGGATGACCAAGATTACTCTGACAGCCTAGCCTCTAAATTTGCCAAGCTTGATTTAAAATCAAACCCACACAACTCGTACACATCTGCCTCTCGGCAAATCTTCTCTGAAAAACCACTTGTCTTTCATGTCAAAGCTGACTCAACCTGTGCGTACAACAATCAAAATGTGGAAAACAAAATGAAACTGCTTCATAGTCCCAAGGTTTTGCTCACAAACTGTAATTCTGACACGCAAGCATATTACTCAAAGCAACGGCACAATCCTAGTGATGAAAAACGGACTAAAGACAGTGATTGGTACACAACTCTTCTGGGTCAGCCCAGCCTTCATGAACTGTCCAAACCTTTGACATCTGACCAAATTGAGGCATATCTGGCCAGTCTTCCAGCTTGGGGAAATTCATTGCCTAAGGTCAAACGCACATGCCTTGAAAACATTCCAGTCACAAAATGTAAGTTTCAGATCGGTGATGTAAACTCTGAGACCGAGGATGAAGAAGCAGTTACAAAAACCCCAGAAAAGATATCTTCACTGCCAGCGCCAAAGTATAAGTCTGCAAATTTGACAGACTCCAACAGTCAGATTCTGTCCCTGAAAGAAAAAGTGCAGGCCAAAGAGAAAAGCAGGAATGATCTTGAAAAAGCTTGTCGAGACAAAGACTTGTCCCCAACCAAACAGTCATCGGCAGTATGGTTGGACTTTTCGTCTGATGGTCCAGCTCATGCCTCAAACACTGAGGAATCATCCGCTGACCAGTTGATCTCCAATGGTAATGTTACTGACAACAGCTTCAGTACTTTGAACACGCTTAGTTCGGATTGTTTTTCCCCTGATTGTAAAAACAGAAATGTTGCCCATTTGAACGGTGTTGATTTGGGTCAAAGGCCATCTCCTCCATCCTCTCCTGTTGCGGTCAGCAGTCCTGCCCAGCATTTATCACCCTATAATAAAAATGTTGATAGTCTTTATTTGAATGGGGTGGAGGTGAATGGTAATGCTGTGAAATGTGAAGGGGAAGAAAAAGAAGTAACAGAGACTGACAACAATGTTTCAAGTGAAGAATCTCCACAGAAAATGCCTCTAAACCAAATCAAAAGATCTCTTTATGCCAGTGTTTTGAGGAAAGATTTTGCACAGGCTGTTGAAAAGGTAAGTGAATCTTAACATCACTCTCCACAACTTCCTATCCTTTTTAGCAACTAGCATTGTTTGCTGAAATCTTTTCAGCTATATGGTCAAACTCTCTGCCTTCGGGCAGAGAGGAACCCGGACAAGGCTATGCCAAAGGGCAGAGTCTTGTTCGGGTAGGTAGACCGATCCGACCCCGTTTTTTACGCGGTCTACGGTGATTTTTTGGCCGAGTTTACAGGCTTGGTAACTCTACATTAAATTTGGCCCTGTGCGACATGTGACTGCGTGTGGCAATTGCTAGATACCACTAGCATTGTTTGTCTTTTTAAAATCCCTCCTGCTCTCTGTTCTGCCATTAATTTACACAAACTTGTTAGATTACCCCTCCATACATCCCTCTTGCCTTCAATATGTCCTGTGAGTATCAAATTGCCCAAGCCCTCTTTCCTTATTATGTGTCATAGAAGTTTCAACTGTCTCTTTATGATTCTAAGTTTGTTGTTTTTGTTTTCATTTTTCTTAAAACAATCTTAATACTCACTTTCTTGGATTTACTAGCAGTGTAATTTTGGAAAGGCTTATTCTTTCTTTCCTTTTAACTTCAGGGCATCAACACAATTTTTTTTATCACTCTTGCATAATATGTGGCATAGAAGTACTTCAGAGAAATCAGCTGAATTTACTGTGGATGATCTGCAGATTAAAGCACTTTCTATACATTTTTGTCTTAGTAAATTGGTTTCTCTTTCAATTAAAGTAGCATTTTTTAATTCAAATTTATAGTCAGACACATTACAGTTTAGTTTAATTTGTTTATGGCATATCAACCTCAATGGGTTATTTAATACCGACAAAATTTTTATTGCTGGTAATATTTCTTTTTTTTCAAAAATGTATCACTGGTAATAATTTTTTTGCAAAGTATTTCTGGTATTAAAACTTATTTTTACACTTTCATAGTGTTTTGACCCCAGTTTGGAGGTTAACTATTTGTCCATAGCTAGGACCCTAACAGGTGCCACCACCCTGGGTCAGGGTGGACCTGGAAACACCAGCAATTATGAGGTGGTTCCATGCTTCTCAAAACCTCCTGATCAGAGTCTTTGCTGTAGGATGTAGTTTATCGTCATACCCAGGACGCAGAAGTACTTTATCATCTTACCCAGGATGGAGACACATTATGGTGAGCAAATAATGCAGTTAATGTGTTGTTTGTTAACAGATCCCTTTTGTGTTCATATAATCTTTTATTTAAGTTTCTCAATGTATTCCTTGTGTTAATCATTACAGATGATAGAGTAAAATTCCTCCTTCAAAGTTTAGCTTATTTTGTTTTGTATTAAGTCTTGTATTGTTTTAGAAATATGCGTGACAAATTTATATTAAGCTTAGATAAAATCTTTTCAATTGATGTTGTGATAGAGTTGGTAGGTAGAATAATATATTTGATATTAAAATTTATTATTAAAAGATGTCACTAAAATTAAAATAGAAAGCAATTTACTTCTCTACACCTCCATGTGTATAGAAGGTGCTTTAATCTATAAATAAATCACAGTAAATTTACATTCAAGTTCTTCGAACATTTCATTTTTTTCGGCAGATCTTCTATTATTACAATGTGGCATACTTAATAACAAAAGCAAAAAAACTAAAAAAAAAAAAGTGAAATTGGCTAGACTATATCACCAAGTACATCTTACGAAAAGAAATTTATCTTAAATAATTAAAATTTCAGCATCCCCACTTCATATACATGTGTAGTTGCATCAACATAAACATCACTTATTCTGATGAAGTCCACTTTGTCATTAATTATAAATATTAAATACATATATATATATATATAGATAGATAGATAGTCTTAAGATGTGTTATATATGTGCTAAATATTGATTAAGATGTGCTATATTTATGGGATAAAGTGCTCAATATCAGAGATAGTGTATGTAAATAGAAAACTGAACATAGAAATCAACCCTTAGAGGCGACAGTCTGTTTCATGCTAGATGCAATCGTCAGGCCACCTGATGATTGCATCCAACATGAAACAGACTGTCACCTCTAAGTGTTGACTTCTATGTTCACTTTTAAAGACAAAAGCAAAAGTTATTTTAGTTTATCTTATCTTTTGTCTTTATTTATATTGTCCACTTAGATATATTTTTAGTTATATCTGAAATTTTACATACACACATATATTTACAAACTTACAGGGTTTTAATGCACATGATACATGACTGACCAATGAGAATTGGCCTAAACAAAAATGAAAATAGCAAAGTTGTCTTACACTCACACTCATACACACACGCACATATATATATATATATATATGTGTGTGTCTGTAAGACAGAACTTTTATATATATATATATATATATATGACATTTTTATGTTTATACATTTTTTTTATATAAATACAGATATTTAAGTATATGCTCTGTTTATAATAAACAGTATTAAGAACATTTACCGGCCTGAATGCCTGAGAAATTTTCATAGTAAATATACGTCCTCCAGCAGGAATCGAACCTATATCCTATACAGAACAATCATATAGCCTGATGTGCTTTTACCAATTTCGCCACAGAGGAGCGGTTCAGTTAGCAAGGTCGATTTTACTGTTTTTAAACTATAATCTTCTATGATTTTCTCATATACATTCATATCTTCTTGATGCGTATCCAAATGTAAACAAATGACGTTACACATTATGAAATGGACGAAGTCTGACAATTATTTTAATACATTTCTATGTTTATAAATTCTTTTTTATAGATATATATATATATATATATATAATATATATATAGTGTAACCCGGATATAAGAGAGATTTTATCTGGTCCCAAAGTGTTCCCATACTTACCTAAACAAAATAGACCAAACGCGGATATAAGAGAAACCCGGATATAAAAGACTTCTTCTTCAGCCCCGACAACTCTCTTATATCCGGGTTACACTGTATATATATATTCTTTAAATCTCTGACAAAGCCTTAATAAAAGTGAAGCATATTAGATTGATATACACTTCTTATTTATTCTTTATCTTATCATCCTGTTGGATTCTGATCCATATATGATATGTATTTGATCTTTAACACACACACACACACACACATATATATATGACTTCAAGTTTTGCAAATACTCAATCTGTCAGTGTCGGATAAATCTATTGAATTTATTAACAGATATGGTATTTATATACACTGTATGAAGGATATTTTAAAACAAAAACCATAAGAAGGCAAATGAAGTTGGTTAAAATTTACATCTAGATTCATTGGCTACTATGAATTTAAAATTTAAATCTAAAATTAAGTGTCCTTGCATTTTCATTGTTTCTATTTATGTTTCATTACAACAATGTTTGTTTATATATTTTCTCCCCTCTCTCTACCTATGATTCCATTATTTAATCTGAAGAAGTCTTTTTGAAGTACGATTTTTTTTTTTTCATTTTCATCATTCACTTACCTGCCCATCATCTGATATATATATATATATATATATATATATATATTCTCTCATACATAAAAAAATTCTAATTATTGACGCCAAAAAAAATTTCAGATGTTTTCCATCTTAAAAAAAACAAAAAAACTGTAACATGACAATGAAAACAAACTTTAATCACATCCTTGGATCAGTGGATTACTGGGTGGATTTTCTATATATATTTTTATGGTGGCAGTTCTAATGAGTTTCTTCTCCTTGGTACCTCAACTGCATGAATTTAAGCATACTACTAAATTGGCAATTAGGTCTCATCATCTTACTGTTGAACAAGCTAGATGCAAACATATGTTCTATTCTAATAGTTTCTTATCTTGCACTTCTCACCTGCGGAACCCCCTCTGGTTTTTCCTTCCCTGCCACCTACGATCTTTAAATTTAATTGTAACATCATTCACCATTTTCTGTGTTTCTGATCCCTGTTCTTTTATTGACCTTTTTCCTTGCTAATATCATCTGTTTCTCCTCTTTCAATTTTGGTAATGTCTGGCTTCTTAGTGACATTATTCCTTGCTTGGGGTAAAATGATTAAAAAGAATAAAAAGAAAAGTATATTTTTTATATATATATATATATATATATATATATATAATAAAAGTATACATTGGAATGAATTCCAATAACCAACAATTACTATTCTTAAAAGAGTGCTCAATACAAAGTAGAGCAGATATAATTATTTTTATAAAAAAAAATTTATAACATAAGTATGTTATAAAATCACTACAAAAATAGCCATTTTGTTTCAACACACTCTGTGTCTTATCAAGTGATGGTGTTGAAAAGAAAATAAATGGTTTTAAAAGTTTCAGATTAATTAACGATCCTACACTAGGGGAGCATTGTTACAAAAGCTAGAATAACCAATCAAAGACGAAGTACAGAAAGATTCAAAAGCTTGACAACAAAATCCTGCTATTATAGCTATTTAGATCTTTAAATACGTGTAATATTAAAAATAATTTATACTAACTAATAATTATAAATTTATATGATAAAATTTAATATTAAAATTAAAAACTGGCAATTTTAAAAATCCAAATTTAATCACTATTAAGTTTAAAAACTACAAAATTATTGAGAAAAAAAAAAATATATATGTTTATTCAATTCATTTCTTCATTGAAATTACGTCTGACAAGACAAGACGCTACAATTCGTCCGGTCATCTGATAATACATGTATATATATTTTTTCTTTTCCGTTTTTATTTTAAAGTTTGTGAATATGGTCTTAAACTCACGCGTGACACAACAAAAACACAATCAGATTATAATACATAAGCATCCAGACATAATTAGATATACACACACACACACACACACACACACACACACACAAACATACACATACTAAAAAAAAAAAAAAAAAAAGAAGAGGTAGGGGGAATACATGAACAACTTACGAAAAAAGGAGACGTGGAAACTAACACTTATACACACACACAGTTAAATGTGAATACACTCTACATACACATAGACACCGGTATATACACA